GTCAAAACTAACAAAAGAGCAACAATATATAAGTGCAAATGACAAGTCTCGGTTAGCCTAACACAGTACACGTAGCAAGGTACATACATACATACACACACACATACACACACACAGACACAATTACATACATACATATATATAAAATATTATTATTACAGCTTACAAATGAGGAATACAATACATATAATTTTTATTTAATTTTAATGTAATCAATTTTATATCATATACAGTATATACATATACATATATACACACACACACACACACACATACATATATATACACAGACACAAGACAATTACATACATGCATATATATATATAAAATATTATTAGAGCTTACAAATGAGGAATACAATACATATCATTTTTAATTAATTTTAATGTAATTAAACAATGTAATTGTAACAAAATATATAAAATTACATTTTAAATATATAAATTATCTTTAAAAAAAAACATATGTTAAATATATAAAATATGATATACTTTATGATTACCTGTGAGTAGGTATTTCTGGGACAGTGACCAAAGGCGTTGTGACTTTTGACACCTCTTCTTTCTTTCCTTTCTTCTGCTGCTGCTTAGAATCCAGTTTATTGCTTCGTTTCTGCTTCTTAAGCTGTGGCGTTTGCGTGTAGGCACTGCGACCCCTGTTAGCCCGACACCCCAAAACCCTCCCCCCGGTCTCTTCATCATCTGACCTGTCCTTCGCAGGCGGAGAGTGCACCTCACAAAACGCAGTCTTTTTCACCGAAAACGTAGTCCCATTCATAGTAGTCTCTCTGACCGGCTCTATTTTCATAAAGAGTCCCGCTCTCTGTGCACAGGTTACATGGAAAGCCGTGTAACAATTGGCCTTGTGGCACTGAATGGACGCTCCGCAACCTTTCTGCTTACACAGGTAACACGTTAGCTTCCACCTAGCTGGTGGAATGTTGTCCACGCCATCGATGGGCTCAAGGAAGACCGTGTTGGCGAAACACACCTCCGGGATCCAAATAGCGCAGACCACGTGCGCCCATCGCCCGTTGCTGGTCTGTTTAAATGCTCCGCCCCGATTTGGGCAAAGCACGCAGTCCACGGGGCGAGAGGGCGACTGCAGGCAACAGCGGCAGAGCCACTGGCCCTCAGGGATGTAGGGAACGCCGTAACACTCCTGGTGCACAGCCAGGTTGCAGATGTCACAAAACAGGATGACGTTACTGTTGAGACATTCGTCGTCGAGGCAGACGCAACAGAAGGCGTCTTCGTCGATGATGCTCTGTGAGGGCGCTTGGCTTCGCAACTCTAAGAACGACTCTGTTTCTAGACGATCTAGTAGGAGTTCGAAAGTGTCGGGTGACACTTGCGGATGGCCTTCCGACGCTCGTCTTTCGTTCACCAGCTCCAGCCAGGCCATGTCCTCCTCGTCCATGTCATACTCCGCATCCATTTCCATCTCTTCACCGGACTTCTCAATGTAGCGGTAGTACGCCGAAGGGCGAGGAGGCGCCTCGACCGGTTCATAAGACTCTTGTTCTCTGAAAGTGGGTTTGGGTAAGGTGCCATGGTGGCTATTCACGCTCGAATGCATCTGAGATTGTCCGTGAGAGGTGGAGCAGTGGTTTTGTGATGAAGTTTAACCAGTGACTTTGTTAAAAAAAATGTTGTTTGTTAAATATACTGAAAGACCATAGGTATTTATATCGTTAACACGAATAAAATCATACGTTTTTAGAAATTATAAAAAAAAGTATAAATAATTCTACATAAAAATTAAACAAAATACTCAAAATTGCTCAAGTATTCAGCAGAACACAAATTCAATTCCCCAAAACAGTAACATGTTTACAAGTTAGTTCGAATATCAACTATCACGTGAGATAAATAGATAAAAATATACAATCCAATATGAAATTAGTGTATTGGCATGCAAATGTATCCATTGCTAGTTAAGTTAATTAGGAACATTCGATTACACAAACTCATTGGAAGGATTAAGTTCAGGACGGTTGCCAATTTACAGTGTTTTTATTTTTGCTGTCCAAACAATCAATCAATCACTTCCACAAGCTAAACATCCTGTCACACCTTTCAAAGGATTTGAAGATAACAAACACAAACCTTAAAGTCAACATGAAATTAGAATTGACCATATGTACTTTCTTAATACACATTCTTGGTCTTATTGTGAAAAATTTGTAGGTGCATGTTACTCCCCAAAAAAGAAATGTTTGTCTCTGTAATCATTCAATAAAATGTAATCATTTCCCCTAACACACCATTTCTAAATCCCTCCCCTTCAACCAAACTGGCTTCATTTTGCTATGTAATTTTAACACCCACTTCACAATCCAATTAATTCCCACTTGGATACAAGTCCTGCTAGAAAAGCAGGCAATGCCACAAAAAAAAAAAAATTCTAGTAGCATACCTTGTTTCACTCAGAAATATGAGTAAAATGGGTAGCCATTGCTATTTCATGTTGACTTTAAGTAAACATGTCACAATACTAAGGCTTTGTTTAAGTGTTAAATTGAAGTCAGTAACAGTGTCCGTTATGTATCCCCAACAATTCATTATACTTTTGTATATATTTTGTTAATACACTAACATTCAAAAGTTTCGGGTCAGTAAGACTAACAATTCATTTTTTTTTAAAGATTCTCTGATAAATAGAAAGTTAAAAATAATGGCATTTCTTAAAAAAAAAACTAATATTTTGCAACATTATAAATGTCTTTTATATATATATATATATATATAAATTAGAAATTATTTTAATTTTAGTTCCTATTTTTATGGTCTTGTTTGTTTATTTTAATATTTCTATCACACTAACAGTAGCTCATCTTGTCAAGAATGTCTAATTATGCTAGAATAATCCTTAAAAATAACAAAACAAACTTGACAAATGTACACTATTTCTCGTCCATGAAAGTGGATCCTAAAATGTTCCTATTGCATCCTTGTTGAAAAAATTACATTAAAAAAAAAATAAAAAAAATTACTTACCTTAAACTTTTTAACAATATACTGATTGTGAAATACACTAAAATACTAGAAACACTAAAATACATAAAATCGTACAAAGCTGTCCTTTTAAAAAGCATTTTCATCAGATAGCACTTAGGAATAGTTTACTAAAAATAAAAAGTCTGTCATCATTTACTCACCCTCATATCATCTAAAATTATTTTCTTTTTTTGTGAAAAAATGAGAGAATTTAGGTTTTGGTTTGTTCCCCTCAAAAAGCTATCATACGGCTTTAGATGACTTTGAATATGGCCCACAAGCTGTCTGAAACAGCACAGGGATGGAATAAATTCTGTATAAATGGTGTGAGGGTGAGCAAATGATCCCTTTAAGGTGCTATGCATACTGGCGATAAATGTAGGACAGTTACCACTATATCAAAATAAAATGTTCATTCACCAGATGTCCAGATATACCACATATTCCTTAAGAAGTCAGTTATTATACAAAATACTGCTATTCATATACTTTTTAGGAGTCAATAAACAATTCTAAATTGTTCATAGGCGGAAACTAAATGGCATAATTGCAATATAATGTCAGACCCACTATCACTAGGACATTGTGAGTGTGTTTCTTCTCTTTGAGTCTCTTCTTGGGAAAGGAACAAAGCTCCTCACTTCTTTAAACGATAAACCTGTGATTAAAAAAAGATCACATTGCATTTACATACACAATATGTGCAAATATATAAAGTACAGCACGCATAACTCTGTGTGTATAATATGTTGCTCACGTTTCCACTCTTCTAAGGGCAATGTGGCGTTGTCGTAGCGGTCATCGTACGGCGTGGGCTCTGGGCAGTCCTCTGGGTCTCTCAGGCCATCAAAATAACTGTGTGCCAGTGCACCATCAGCAGTGAGACGAGCATCAGCATCTAACACCAGCATCTTCTCAAGCAGATCTACCGCTGGGGTTAGTTACCAGTGCAGTGGCATTGAGGGACAACACAGTGGGTCAGAAACAGGCCAACATCATTAGAATAGCAAAAGCTGATATATAGTATGCATTATTATATTAGTATAGGGCAAACTGAGCTATGGTTTGATAATATTATAAAGTTATTTGATAATTTATTAGGACTAGTTGAATCTGATTTAGGTTTGTTAAGGTAGCAGAAGATGCCAGTATAAAAGTTGTTACTGTTAACTACAACTAAAACATAAAATTTTTCGTTAATTCAAATAAAATAAAATATTTAAAAAAAAACCTTCTTTTATTTCAACCTGTTGCCAAAACAACATTTTTCATTTTCATTTAGTTTAACTTGGACTAAAATTAAAACTGAAATAACATTTAAAACAACAAAAAAAAGTATACACAAATATTAAAAAATAAAAAGAACTAATAAAATGACAAAAACTCACAACAAAATTATAACTAAAACTTTATCTAAAATTAAAATGGAAAATAAACAAATACGAAATCATTCAAAATATAAAGAAAATCTATAATAGTATCTCAATAATGTCAAAATAACACTATTTGTAGAGTAACAATTTACAATAAATTTCAATTAGATAATGCAAGTTAATGCATTAGCCATTTTTACAGCATTTATTAGGTTAAAGGGGTCATATGATGTTGCTAAAAAGAACATTACTTTGTGTATTTGGTGTAATGAAATGTGTTTATGCGGTTTAAGGTTAAAAAAACACATTATTTTCCACATACTGTACATTATTGTTTCTCCTCTATGCCCCACCTTTCTGAAACGCGTCGATTTTTACAAAGCTCATCGTTCTGAAAAGCGAGGTGTGCTCTGATTGGCCAGCTATCCAGTGCATTATGATTGGCCGAATACCTCAAGCGTGTGACGGAAATGTTACGCCCCTTGCCATATTGCCTTCCCATATTGTGATGCCTTGTCCCGGAGCAACGAGACAAAAACATTAAAACCCATTATAAACGAACCATTTGTTGCATCCAGTGGGGACATAATTA